ACTTATTAGCCTCCGTTGGAAAAGGAAAAGCCAAAGCGAAAGCCACAGCCGCCGTCTTAACCAGGTTCTGTGGCCTATTTGCATTAGGTTAAGCACTTCTTTTTTTGGTCTATGACCTGCCTATAAGGTAGTGTCGACTTTGTGGTTCAGTTTAAAAGTGATTGGAAGACTGGGCTTGAATGATTTTAAAATTGGTTAATGGTAGATATTTTTTGTGGATTAAAACTTAAGCAGATCTACCATTTATTATAAGTTTTAATGCTGTTTATTATTGGCATGACTTGTGCTTTAATGAAACCTTTTCTAGGTAAAGGGCATCTCATCTTCGCTTTTATAATTAACTTTTTCCATGGTTTTTTTTAGAACTTGGCAATTTTTTTTTATTTGTCCACTGATGGGGTTGACAAGTCGTGCGCAAAAAATGTCGGTTAGCCAAGCGGGGTACGTTTCGGCCAAGTGGCAGACGTCGAGACGCGAGGTGGCCAAAAGGAGGTGCACAGAAAGGGGGGAGGCAGACGGTGCCATAGGGCAGCGGAGATGCAGGGGCGCAGATTAAATAATTCATTAAGGAAACTCGACTGTCGCCGCCTGCCTCGTCTTCGAGATGTTTTGATAAGCAAAGGGTAATTAAGCCCAGAGCTGCCAGCGCTGAGTGTTGGCCGTAAAATTTGTTGGCGGAAAGTTTGCTCGCGCATAGATGACATGAATTTAAATAGAAATTAAATTAAAATGAGAGTGGGCCGGAGAGCGGGCCGGAGTTGAGCAATCACGGCTTAAATTGTGCAGCAAATTTGCTGATGAAGGGATCGGGGATTGGGCCAGGAATATATTTAATAGCAGCGCGAAATTGGCGCAGCTTGTAAACACGAAGGCCGAAGCGCGTGGGGCAGTTGCAACTGTAACAGCAATTAAAAGCCGGCCAGACAATGCCCCACTCAGTAAATGTGAGTGTGAGTATGTGTGTGCATTTATGTTGTGCACACACTGAGCCAGATACAGGCATGCACTTCATATGCATGACAATGTCATGGCAACTTGTAAGGCAATACCACTTACCCCGTTGTCCCGCCTCGCCTTGCTGTTTGCAGATTTATTGCATCAGGAAAGAGCCGGCTTGGTTTTTCTTCCCTTTTTGTTTGCCCTACAGATTCGTCTTTTTTTCTCTGGGCACTCCAATATATTTCGGAGATGGCCCATTGTTGGCCTTGGACCCACAATCCGACCCGGTCAATGGCGGCCAAACCGCTGTAAGTAACTAAGTTGCAGTTGCAGTTGCAGTTGCATTGTTCCCTGGTATGAATGTACAAGCACTTGCCACCAGAATATATTATGTATTTACAGGTCCTGGCTTGGTTCTGGGCTCATATTTGATTTTATTTAAATTTTATTCAAAAGGCTTTGAGGTGAGACGCATATGAGCAATTCAAGCAAAGAGTGAGATTTATTGGAAATACCTTTTAGTAAGCTTTAATGCCTTTTCATTTTGAAAAATACTGATTCTGTATATCACACCCGAGAAAGTCCACAAAATCCGTAGAACGGAAGCTAATTGAGAGCACTACGACCACATTTCCATGGTTTCTATTTGACATGGTTTTGTGATTACACCGCGAACGGGCAAATGCATTAAATTGCCCGACCTTAAAGAGTGTGTGTCCCGGCCCAACAGGATGCATTGATTTATTGCCACACCGCCAGGACCACCCTGCCCCCTTGCCCCAGTTGAACGGGCAGGACTCGTCCTCGCTCATCTGCCGGAGCGACGTTTTGCTCGCCGGTGCATGAATGTCACTGCCGAGCCAAATGGACAAACGAACAATCCAGCGAAATGCCAAGCGAAAGGGTTAAATGGCATCGAACATTGGCTAAAAGGAGGAGGCAGCAACAAATAACACTAGGACACCCAGGACTTTGGGACTCTAGAACTCCAGGACACCAGGATAGCAGGCAGGATGCCCAAACACCCGCACAAACCCAGAAACAGGAAGTAAAAAGTGTAGCAAAGAAATCAGCGCACGTTAGCAATTAATAATGGGGAAGCCCCAAGAATTCAGAGACCCTGGGGTCTCCTGGAGTCTAGAATTCGGCCAACATTTGGCGGCCTGCGTACAGGGACTTGCAACAAATTTAAAAAAAAAAATACAGAAAAGGAGACAGTCAAAGGAGGAAGGATACAAATGTGATGTGGGATATGGCCGAAAAATAAAGGCAAGTTTGCAATACACAGATGTTTGCCATTTAAGTATTGTTAGCAGGACACAAATACCGGAAAATTTATGGTAAATACTAGGTAGTTTTGTTAGGAATATTTTACAGCTCGAACTTGTTTAAAAAAACTTTAATTTTTCACTCAAAACTTTACTAAATGTTGCTGCGATAGAACCGTTTTTAATTGCCATTAAAGCCTTTAGTCGTGTTGTCGTCTGTGGCATAATACAAAAAATTAAAAGCCACGTACAGCCAGCCACGCCCACTCTGACACACACACTCTCGGCTGTCATATGTAATTATTAATTTCTAAAAAGCCATTCAAAAATAATATAATTTGAAAATGCGCGCGACGACGTGCCCGGCTGTAAATGTCTCTGATTGTCCGGCCGCGGCTCCGGATCCGGGACTCCCGGGGCAGGGAATCACCCCGGGCCAATGACCAAACGGCTGCTCGGTTACAAATGTTGTTAGGACATTAATTTATGTGTGTGTGGGGGGTTTAGGAAGAAGCCCTCCCCCTCGGAATCAATATGCCCGCCGCGTCCCGACACCAAAAAAAGACGGAATTTTGCCGAATGGCCGAAAAACGCTGCCCTCTTGCATATGTTTTGATTTAAATGCTCACGCACATACGGATCTAATCCTAATTTAAATGTTTTTCAGCGAATCCCCCGCCTCTTGACCTCCGGAACTAAAGTGAGAAATTTAATTGTTTTGTTGTTTTGGGGCGTCGAGTGAAAAAAAAGGATGTGCGGGCAAGAAAAGAGAACCATTTTGCATAACAAATTCAATTAAATGTCCTAGTGCATGAATTAAAAACATATTATACCTAATTGGAAAATGAAAATTCGGTTAAAATAATATATACAAAAGAGAAGTGAATGCAAAAAAGCAGACTAAATATTTAATCGCCTGAATGCGGTTGCCGCCGAACAATAACTATGTATGTTCGGTGTTTTCAATGGACTTGAAAGGTACTGTCAAACAACTCCATTATGCTATCGAATTTTGGTCTTCAATCGTTTAATGATTCAACCGACTTTCAGCACGACTTGCCGCCATAAATTGCATCTTGTTGGCCATAATAATAATTCTACGTTCTGCCACAAATCTCCGCAATTCCCAAAATAGTTTTCAAAGCGCGTCAACAAATTTATTTGTGCGCTCGGAAAAGTAAAAAGGCCAACAGAACTATTTGTGCAAACAAGTTAAATCAAATATATTGCTTCGATTTTCCCTCTGGTCGCTCTGGTTGTTGTAATGGCTTTTTGTTTGCCTGCATTCTGTTAGCCGGACCGGGCCAATTGGCCGAGCCAAACACCAAGTTCAACAGCAATTAAAATGGCCAAAAGGAGGAGAAAGGCGAGAATCGAGAAGAATACGGCAAATAAATGCATTTGGCCACCGGCAAGAGAAACATTTCGGCTGCTTATCTTCTAGTTTCTGCTAGTTAACAAACAAGCCAGTATACACCAGCAACTAAACAACTACAACAAGTCACAGCTCACAGCCAGCCATGGAAACTTTGGCCAAAAAAAGAACATTCGCCTTCCGAGCCATCCAAGAAGCCATAAAAATGTTGCTCACGCGGCGGGGTGTTGCTAACTGGACGGATCCGGAAGTGGGCTACAGTGGAGATGTTCTACCAGAGATGACTTGTGTCCTCCTGAATCAGGGGTCCTTCACTTTCCTCTGCAGGGAGTGACCACTGTCTGTCAGCGTCTGTGTGCACACGTAAATCGTTGTAATAGAAACATTGCATTTTATTGCAGTTGTCTTCGTTCTCCTGGCAGTCCTTCCCAGCTCCCTTTCATTCCTTTTTTTTCCCTTTTTGTCTTTTCGGCCAATAACATTCTGATAAATGGTCAGAACGGCTTTCGTGTCGATGTCCTTGAGGCAGCTCCAGCATCAGCAGGAGCTGGAGCTGCAGCTGCCCCCCACAAGCGGGCGAGACAACTTTTCAATTTGCACTAAAAGTATTTTCCTTTTCTGGCCAAGTAAGCCCCATGTCCCAGATCTTGATTTTGTCAGCCCGAATGTGGCGGTTGCACTTGCCACAAATGGATGCAGCACCCGGAGAAGCAAGCTACTACTCCTGGCATCTTATAAATGGTGTCATGAGGGGACTCTTCATCACGGCTCGGTGGCATGGCTTCCTGCTTACCTGCCATTTGTCATTGGCTTTTTGTGGGCCGACCAAAAAATAAACTTTAATTAACTTAAGTACATGGCTGCAGGCCACATGATTGGGTTTATATTCCAGTATACGAAGTGGCATTAAATTTGTTTAATTATTCTTAGGATGCCATTTAAAAATTGTATTATTTTTATTTTAAATTTTGAAAACTTTCAACTTAAAAAGATCTTTTGAGGTGTTGATTCCAGGGTATATAAGCTTTGAGTTAGTTGATTTTTTATTCCATTCTTTTTTCTGTTTGACTTGACCAGAATGAATAATGCAACTGTCCAACGGCTATTGTAGGAGACATTTGCATGTCCTGCCTAGGACACACTGAGTGCAGCCCTAGGATTGTGGTTTCTGCGAGAAAACCAAACACACGACGCTGTAACGAGCTTAGGCTGACCATCAAAGTGGGTGTGATGCACCTTCTTTTTGTTTTCATTAGGGCCTGTCCACCTTGTTACATTTTAATAACTCAATTAGGCTACATTTCAGGTTTCAAGTGAAAGATTAAGTCACATTTTTCATAAAAGTTTACATTACGTATATGGATATTATTAATCTTAATGGTATAATATATGTAGATAATATAGGTGTTTCTTGAAAATTAAAATCCTTGTATCGTCGTAGCATCGGCTTCCGTTGGTTGGGCTTCTGTAGGAGTTGGATCTGTTGAAGTGGTAGAAGTAATAGTACTTGTAAGAGTGGTAAAAGTTGTGGGAGTGATTTCAGAAGTGCTTGTAGTGGAGGAATCCGTTGAACTGCTCGATGAGCTACTTGTAGTACTAGTGGAGCTACTACTAGTGCTTGTAGAGGAGGAATCCGTTGAACCACTCGAAGAGCTACCTGTACTACTAGTGCTACTAGGGCTACTAGTACTACTACTACTAATACTACTACTAGAGCTACTACTAGTGCTACTACTACTAGAAATTGTGCTGCTAGAGCTTCCTCCAGAAGTCGAAGAAAACGTTGTACTCGTCGAAGACTCGGTTGTTGAAGAATCGTCCTTGGTGTTGTCAGCTAGCCAGCTCTTGAATTCAAGCACGTTGGCATAGACATCCGCATCGTTGGTGCACCCGCCCTTAGAGAGTATGCCCACTAGCTTTTTGTCCTTGACCAGCGGAGCCCCTGTGTCGTAGGTGCACGCTCCCACTTCGGAGTCCCAGGTGCAGAGCGTTAGGTCCGAGATGCCGTTGTCCCAGAGTCCGAACCAGCCCCCGAGATCCGAGGCGCAGTCTTCCTGATCGTAGACATACGTCAAGCCGATCCGCAACCTACTCGGCCGGCTGCCGAAGCATCTGTTCAACCAGCTGGCCCACCAACAGGTGGATCCCCAGCCAGTGACCTGCAACTGAATATCGCTCTTTGGCACTTTGTCGGTGATCTGAATTGGCTTGATGGAGGAGGAGATCTTCAAAGGTTCACAGAGCTTCAGGATCGCTAGATTGTTGTCGAATCGCCAGCTGGAGTAGGAGGGATGGCTGATCACCTTGCAGACCTTGGCCGAGGTACCTCCAGAGTTCAAGGATGTGGTCCCGACTCGCACTTTGATGGACCTCTTCGAGTATCCCGACACGCAGTTGGCCGCCGTCAAAACAAAGCTCTTCTTGATGATCGCGCCACTGCAGGCGTTGGTTCCATCCAAGATGATGGCCGCCTGGTAGGGCACCTTGCTGATCTCCACTGAAGACCCTCCAACAATTCGGGTAAGATTGGACAACGACGGGGGACGTCCTTCCGCCACAGTCCACCAAGGCAGTGCCACTAGAAAGATAGGTAGCCACATTCTGAGTCAACTGTTTTGGACTTGAACGGAATAGCTCTTTTATAGGCCAACTGAAGCCTTATCGACATAGGTATTTAAGCCAATTTTAGGCTTTCAGCTAGCTTTATCTAATGGGGAAGTGAACTGGTAATTAGTTTTCCTTTAAAATATGTATTTTAATCATTATATTACTATTTTGAAATGGGTTTAATTGTTTCTTGCTTTTGTACTTCAGTCACTTGATGTGGCCAGACAAGTTGACGCAGATATTTGGGCGGGCGGAGCATGTATTCCGGCTGACGGTGCCCACAATGTTTTTCGGGAAGTCGATGGGAGCTCCCATGTTGTAGGAGCAGGCACCCTTCTCAGCGTTCCAGCGCATTCATTCGGTCGTGCGCTTCTTCTTTTGTAGATTCCGCGGAGACAAGCTTTGTGGAGAGGCAAGCTTATGGACCACCACCCGGCCGCGGTATAACCAAGGCCTCCTAATCCTCACAGAGAGCTGGAGAGGGTTGCAGAACCGCAGCAGGGAAAGTTTCTGACCGTGTCTTTTGATCAACGTCTGGTCAAAGAGTGAAATATCACAGTTAGGATTCAGTCACAGACGGCGACCTCGGATTCTTTGGAGATGCGTTGACGCACTTGGTCGCACTCAGAATGTACTTAATAAAGAAGATGGCCCCGGACAGTTGTGGAGCTACAACAGCACCAAGATTCGCAGCCGGGGAGACATGGTGACTAACTGGATTGGAAACAAGCGAACCTGGAGTTCTTAAGAATGTTGAAGCGAGTCTGGGAAATGAACTAGATAACCGTGACAATCAACTTGTTTTTGGTTTATGGCCAAAAGGGGCGTTCTGAGTTTTTAAATCTACAACTGCTTTCACTTTCCACAACTTGAGATCTTTCCTTTAAAAAAAAAATAATGAAATATTTTGAGTTTTATGATTTTATTTAACTTATCCATTAGATACATAATAACTTGCATTCATTCTTTTGTGTTGAGATCCAGCCAAGTATTGTGATTCACCAAACTGGAGTACACCTCCGGCTTGTTGGAGCAATCGCCCTTAGAGAGGATGCCTACCAAGTGATCGTTGCTGACTAGTGGGGAGCCCAAGTCGTAGGAGCAGAGCTTGTCGCTCTTGGTGGTGCAGATGTTTAGGTCCGTGACGGCCTTGCGGAAGTACTGCAAAAATCCCTTCCGTTTAGCCTTGCATATTGTCAGGTTTTGGAGCGGCAAGGTGGCCTTGCGTAGCACCACGGAGGCGGTGGCCCAGCAGGAACTCGAGAGGCGGCCCCACCAGCTGATGGATCCCCAACCGCTGGCTGTGATTTTTTCCCCGGTCTTCGGCTGCTTTCTGAGCACGGAGATCGGGTTGATCTTGTCAGAGCTCGGTGCGGGCTCGCAGAGCTGCAGGAGGGCCAGGTTGCTGTCGTAAACCTTGGAGCTGAACTGCTCATGGACGATGACTTTGCAGACCCCCAGTAAGGATCCTCCTGCATTGCGAACTGCCGTGCCCAGCCGCACTCTGATGTGGCTCACCAGTATTTTCTTAACACAAGACGCGGCAGTAAGAACGTATTTGGGCTTCAAGAGAGCGCCTCCGCACTTGGCTTTTCCATGGACCTCTATCGAAGCGTGCCAGGCTGCCTGCGGGATCCCGATGGGGTCTCCCATAATGCCACAGGATTCTGGCGGTTTTCCGTGAGACGACCAGGGTAAAATGGCTAGAACAAGTATCCAGGTTATGCGAAGCATTTTCAATATTGGAGTTTCCACTCCATCATTCACTTCTATTTATGGAAACTCTGTGGGTTTCAATTTTCTACATCCAAAAGGGTTACAAATTTGGAATCGATTTGTGATTTCCATGCGTTGCTATTATTTAACTGGGGAATACTAATATTATGAAATTCGAGTTGCAATGAATAAGTCTGGATAGGGCATGCCAATCTCCCTTTTAAATGGAAGACTAGATGTTGGATATAAAGTTGGTTGTTTCATGATTCTATTCAAACATGATTCACAAGTTTCAAGTTTCTAAAAATCTTTTTAAAACTCATAGGCATTTGGATCTTTTGGTAGGTTACTGCTTAGTCTTCAAAGTTAATTTTTGTACATATCTCCAAACTACTGATGACTTCAAAAAGGCGTTGTTTAAAAGAGGCATCCGAAGCAGTTTATTGAGGCATGTCAGGAATTCTTTGACTAAAACACCCTGACAGTAATTTTAAAACAATGGGTTATTGTTTTAGTTTATTTAGTTTTATCTAGAATTTAAAAGTGAAAAAAGTAAGTAACATTTTAATAGGGTACAGGAAACCGAAAGCGAAGTCTAGACAAATTGTATAACTTAAATCTTATTACTGAAACCCTTTACTCAGTATTCGCCTCCAGCCAAGTTTTGTATTGTACCACACTCGTATAGACATCCGGCTTCGAGGAGCAGCTTGGGTTGGTAAGTATTCCAGCCAGTTGTCCTCTGGAAATCAAGGGCGCTCCTAAGTCCTTGTCGCAGGCGCCTAAGATTTTGTTTTGGGCACAAATCGTCTCAGTAGCAAGGGCAGCTTGTAAAGCACTATTGTCTAATGCCTTCGAGCATTCGTCTTTGCTAATGATAGCTTCCTCAATGACGGAAAGATGATAAAAGAAAATTGATTTGCGCCAAGTAGCCACCTTGGCTAGTGAGTTAACCTTCGGGACGATGCCGGCCAGCGGGGCTTCCTCAATATTCCTGGATAGCTTCAATGGTTCCGAAAGCTTCAGCAAGGCCAGGTTGTTCCTTTTGCTTACAGGTTCATATTTCTCGTGAATGATCATCTTGGCGGCACTGATCGGGGTCGCCCAACACCTCTTATTGGATCCTGCTAGAACTGTGATTTTTGAAACAGGATATCCATAGAAACAGCTGGCAGCTGTCAGGATGTATAGAGGGGAGTAGACAGCTCCAGAGCACGATGCAACGCCAACGATTCTGATGGAAACCTGCCAGGGAGCCGTCGCGGAAAAAATGGTACGGTCGGAAGGTTCTCCAGAAACCAGGAGAGGCAATAAAGCCAAGTGAATAATAAACAGATACTGGATCATATTTGCTGACTGCATTCAGAGTAGAGGGTTCGACCTTTTATATAGGGACTAAGCTTTTCCAAGTCTTATCACTGAAGTAATGAGTTATTCATTTTCGTATTTATCTTATGGGTTGAAAGGAATTTTGGGTTAATTTAAAAAGGTCTATCTTTCACATTTGTTGTTCAGTGAAATCGTTAATCTCTGCTGCCAAATTAAACTGCATAATTCAAGCAACCACGTACTATATAGTATATATAGTAGATACCTTCCGATTAGAGCCGTTTTCACCCTTCGCTGGCCAGCGTCATCGAAATGTTCACCAGCCATTACCCTAAGCCGCTTAAATCATTTGAATAATTCTCACGCAGCGCAAAAAATGTGTGTGACTGAAATATAGTCGGACAGTTCCATCATCTGATATTTGTATGCTGGTATTTATGAGATTTCACATGAATGGGAATTTAAATCTGGGCAATGTTTAGCAAAATGTTGAAATAAATACATTTATAACTGGATGCTGGATGGCAGAGGACAAGCGAAATATTGGTAACAAGTTCGGGGCTTCTGGGTGATGGGGTTCAGCAGGGTTAGAGGGAAAACAAATAAACATTTTGCCGGAGAGGGAAGGGGTCATACTGGCGGATTAAAATAGATTACAACTGAATTATTTGATAATGCCCCAGCAGATGCAACACATCGCACTGGTTTGTCTCGCTTTGCGTCCTGCGTTTAATTTCCATCAATGCGAAAATCATTTTTGGTTGTCTGGACTTTTTTGTTCGCTTTAGGATCCTGGGCCTGGGATCCTGTTTCCCATTTGCCACTGAAACTAGGTTTTTTATGCCAGTCTGTGGTAAAAAATCAGTGTTCGGAAGCTTTTTGTAAATATTATTCTGGATTGCTTTCTTTAGGCCATGCGATTTAATTGATTTTATTTGCTGGAAATCAGGCAGGAGATTAACGTTAGATGGGATTTTTATGCTTCTCATGTAATGATTTCCTATTTTTTTTAAAGAGCAGTTTGGCAGGATTGTTGATGCCGTAGACGGTCCATCGGAATGGCCATTTGGAGCTCCCGCCAGCTGCTCCTTCATCTCAATCAGCCTTTGGCTCATACATAACCCAGCAAATCCTTTTCCAGCTCGTGACAGTCGCTGGCATCGTTGCCAGTTTTCACACCAACAACAATTACTCAAACCGTTTACTGTCCTTGTCCCTGCACCCTGACCTGTATTTCCAAACAGCTCCCCCCGGATCCCCCTGCCTCTTCCAAACATTGGGCCAAACAATCGTTGACAAAAATATTTGCATGCACTTTGGGTGCACTTGTCTGAATCTGAATCCGAATCTGAATCGCTGTTGGTGCCACTGGGTGTTGCCACTCTGCATTGTTGCCGCATTAAATATGCAACACCTATGACAGCAAGCCGCTTGACATTTGCCCGTTTGGAGCATTTTAGCCATTTGGAAAAACGAATTCCCAAACTAGAACTACTAGCACCTCCTCCCCGCCAATTTGCTGCTAAATTTGTCAAAAAAGCCTTGCCCGAAACTTGGTCGGCACAAAAATTATGACTTCCGCAATTGTTCAAACAAAAGGCGACTAATGTAATGCAAAAGTGTGACCCCGGACAGTTCAAAAGGCAACTGTTGCTCTTGAAACCAACCAGAATCCATCCCTGCCCCGAAAACTCCTCACACACACGGCAAAGTTTTCAAATAGAAAATGTTTAATTTCCCCAAAGACAACGTCGATGCTCCGCTTCTGATGCTCCTGCTGCTTCAGCTCCTGCTTTTGGAAAACGCAGCGTTTTCCCAGCCAAGCCAAGGAAACTTTCTTACATATTTTACAATAGAAAGTGTGTGTGGGAGTGTGTGTATGCTGGGCCAAGTCAGTGTGGGTGCAACAGTGCAGCCGAAAAAGTTTCTCCTTTCCGGGACGAAAAGTTAGCTAAGACAAATTCCCACCCTCGTGGGTGGGTGGATGTTTTGAAGACCCCACCTGCCCGGCTTCCGAGTCGAACTTGTTAGTTTGCTATATAGCGTTGAAAATTATATTATTTTAAACTTTTCAAATGTCACCAGAGAGTCAGAAATTTCGCCGAACGTCAGTGACAAATTCTTGTTGTTGCCGTTCTTGTTTCCGCCGCCCGCCGTCCTGGCCCAACTTCATTGTGTTCGTTAATTAAACATGTTGCCCCAATGAAACGCACAATAAATCGAACTTCGTGCCAGAGACGCTCGTGCTCTGCTGAAAAACCAAATTGAAAATTAACTGCATTATCTGATCGAATGCGATAATTAAATGTGGCAATCATCACATGAGCAGGTCAATCAAGCGCCGCCTCAATCATCCCACATTTTACAAATGCATAATAACGACGGGCAACATAATAATGCATTTTCATGTAATACATTAATTGATAAAGGTCTAAAATAGAACAAATAAAATCAATAGTATGTGCGATCCATGATTTTTAAATGCAGTTACTTTAAATCAAATAATAATATGTATCTGTGAATCCTCTGTGATAGTTTCCAATACCATTATCATATACCATCCATTCCAAAGTCTATATTTTTCCTAATACTTATCCGATTCTTAAACGGAATACCTTAAACGGTTGGTAGTTCGATTCTCAATCAATCTGCATTAAAATATGAAAACATATTTTTTTAGATTTTTTGTAAAATTTTCTGGAGGACCCCCTTCGAATTTTGAAAAATGCATGGGGAGCCATATATGGTCCACAGCGATAGCTATATCTTTGCCAATTTTCATCCGATTCTTGAGCGGAGTACCTTAAACGATTGGTGGATCGATTCTCAATAAATCTGCATTAAAATCTAGAAACAAATTTTTTTTTTGATTTTTTGTAAAATTTGCTGGAGGACCCCCTTCTAATTTTGAAAAAATGCATGGGAAGCAATATATGGTCCACAGCGATAGCTATATCTTTGCCAATTTTCATCCGATTCTTGAACGGAATACCTTAAACGATTGGTAGTTCGATTCTGATTCAATCTGCATTAAAATCTAGAAACAAATTTTTTTTTAGATTTTTTGTAAAATTTTCTGGAGGACCCCCTTCGAATTTTGAAAAGTGCATGGGGAGCCATATATGGTCCACAGCGATAGCTATATCTTTGTCAATTTTCATCCGATTCTTGAGCGGAGTACCTTAAACGATTGGTGGATCGATTTTCAATAAATCTGCATTAAAATCTAGAAACAAATTTTTTTTAGATTTTTTGTAAAATTTTCTGGAGGACCCCCTTCGAATTTTGAAAAATGCATGGGGAGCCATATATGGTCCACAGCGATAGCTATATCTTTGCCAATTTTCATCCGATTCTTGAGCGGAGTACCTTAAACGATTGGTGGATCGATTCTCAATAAATCTGCATTAAAATCTAGAAACAAATTTTTTTTTTGATTTTTTGTAAAATTTGCTGGAGGACCCCCTTCTAATTTTGAAAAAATGCATGGGAAGCCATATATGGTCCACAGCGATAGCTATATCTTTGCCAATTTTCATCCGATTCTTGAACGGAATACCTTAAACGATTGGTAGTTCGATTCTGATTCAATCTGCATTAAAATCTAGAAACAAATTTTTTTTTAGATTTTTTGTAAAATTTTCTGGAGGACCCCCTTCGAATTTTGAAAAGTGCATGGGGAGCCATATATGGTCCACAGCGATAGCTATATCTTTGTCAATTTTCATCCGATTCTTGAGCGGAGTACCTTAAACGATTGGTGGATCGGTTTTCAATAAATCTGCATTAAAATCTAGAAACAAATTTTTTTTTGATTTTTTGTAAAATTTTTTGGAGGACCCCCTTCGAATTTTGAAAAATGCATGGGGAGCCACATATGGTCCACAGCGATAGCTATATCTTTGCCAATTTGCATCCGATTCTTGAGCGGAGTACCTTAAACGATTGGTGGATCGATTCTCAATAAATCTGCATTAAAATCTAGAAACAAATTTTTTTTTTGATTTTTTGTAAAATTTTCTGGAGGACCCCCTTCGAATTTTGAAAAGTGCATGGGGAGCCATATATGGTCCACAGCGATAGCTATATCTTTGTCAATTTTCATCCGATTCTTGAGCGGAGTACCTTAAACGATTGGTGGATCGGTTTTCAATAAATCTGCATTAAAATCTAGAAACAAATTTTTTTTTGATTTTTTGTAAAATTTTTTGGAGGACCCCCTTCGAATTTTGAAAAATGCATGGGGAGCCACATATGGTCCACAGCGATAGCTATATCTTTGCCAATTTGCATCCGATTCTTGAACGGAATACCTTAAACGATTGGTAGTTCGATTCTGATTCAATCTGCATTAAAATCTAGAAACTAATTTTTTTTTAGATTTTTTGTAAAATTTTCTGGAGGACAGAATTTCGAATTTTGAAAAATGCATGGGGAGCCACATATGGTCCACAGCGAGAGCTATATCTTTGCCAATATTGATCCGATTCTTGAGCGGAGTACCTTAAACGATTGGTTATTCGATTCTAATTCAATCTGCATTAAAATCTAGAAACAAATTTTTTTTTAGATTTTTTGTAAAATTTTTTAGATGACCCCCTTCAAATTTTGAAAAATGCATGCATCCGATTCTTAAACAAAACGATTTGTGGATCGACTTTAGCTTTTGAATTACGTTTTTCTCTGCCAACTCGCTGACAATCTGATCCAATTGAAAGCCGCTTTATTCCCATTCCCCGGAAGGCCATTAC